TCCTCCCCTGGGTCACCACCTGCACCACCCTTGCAGGGACTTCTGTCAGGGCTCTACTCATCCAACATCCCATCTGGAAGGAGAGTCTTGGAAGTGGGAATGAGCCAGGCTGAGCTCACAGGGAAACTAACTGAGCCGGACCCCAGCACCCTCGCAGAGCTGAGACAGGGCTGCAGGTGAGCCGGGCCAATCAGAGCAGGGGAGCCCGCCGAGCAGCAGGCAGCCCAACCTGCCCGGGCCTCCATCGCACTCCCGGGTCAGCGCGCCAGGTGCAGTCGCAGACCTGGCAGGGGCAGGTCAGCCCTGGGCACCGGGACAGAGCCACACAGGCCTCTTGAGCCGAGGCCAGGGCACACACACGGGCACTTCCCCACCTCCGCAGGCAGTGCCAGGAGTCCGGCCAGGTCCTCCCCACTGAGCATCCTGCAGGAGGCTGAGGAAGGGAAGTCCTTCCCCCTCAATTTGCTGCAGGAAGCACAAACCCATCCTGTTTTTTAAGGGGTAAGAGCAGCAGAGAACACCCATTAGCCGGCATCGAGAGGCCAGGTGGAGGCCGGCCCCCCAGGGGACATCAGGGGTGACCTCCCCAAGGACCCTGTCACTCAATGCCGCAGGGCAGGGCTGGCCCATGACTCCTGTCCTGGCTTCCCACATCCACTGTTCTGCGCCCCTCTCCATGTGGGAGCCTGGGGGCTGTGCTCGGAACTGCACAGTCAGGAGAGGAGTGACATGGGCACAGCGACTGCGACACACGCGGCAGCCCTGTGAGCTGCTCACCAGCACGAGGCCACCAGGTCATAGTGCACACATCTCCCTCTGTCTCCCCACCCCCAGTACTAGTGATTGAACCCAGGGCCTTCACAACGAGCTTCATCTCCAGCAAACCCCTCTTCTTTGTTTTTTGACTCAGGTTCTCACTGAGTTGTCCAGGCTGGGCTTGAACTTGTGATCCTCCTGCTTCAGCCTCCTAGAGTGCTGGGATTGCAGGCCTGCACCACCAGGCCTGGCCCATAATGTTTTGCTGTTGAGATGAAAATCATAAAATTTAGAGTTCTCTTTCTCTGTGGTGCTGGGGACCAAGTCCAGGGACCAGTGCACCCCAGGCAAGCGCTTAACCACTATGCTACGTCACCAACCCCAAACAAGCTGTCTTGAAGCAGACGATTTAATGACTTTTCCAAAAGTCACAGTGTTGTCAGACACCAGCTCTGCCCAACAGGTTCCCCCCAAAACCCACTTCTGTTACACAGTCACCCCACTCCCCTCCTCGCAGAGCCTGGCAACTACTGATCTGCCTTCTCTCCAAGGCCGTGTGCTCTCTGAGCGATCCACACTGACAGGACCACACGTGTCCAGCTCCCTTCACGCACCGCGCTTCTGAGGTCCCTCCCTGGCGCAGCCCTGTCCTCCTTTTTCACAGCCAAATAAGAGCCCACTGTGTATATATATACATCACCACCGGTTTATCCATCCTCTGGTAATGGACATGTAAATCGCTTTCTTCCTCCTCCTCTTCTCCTCCTCCTTCTCCTTCTCCAAATTGAACTCAGGGCCCTTAACTGGAGCTACAAGCCCACAGCTTTTTAAAAATCTTTGTTTTGAGGGCTGGGAATTTAGCTCAGTGGTGCAGCCGCCTGCCTTGCAAGGGCAAGGTCCCGAGTTTGATCCCCGGCATCCCACCCCCCAAAAAAAAAAATCTTTATTTTGAGACAGAGTCCCACTAAACTGCCCAGGCTGGGCCTCAACCTCTTGCTGGCCGCTTGTAAATCCACTCTGGAGAAATGTTTCAGCCAACTGCTTCGCCCGTGTTTAAGCTGAACTGTTTTAATGTCAAGTTCTAAGAGTTTTCTACACAACTCGAATACTAAATCCCTATCAGATGTGCAATTGGCAGGTATTTTCCCCTTTCCACAGGCTGTCTTCTCCCTTTATTTTGTCCTTGAATATACAAGATCTTTCATTTGGATGAAGTCCATATGTCTATTTTTTTCTTTTGTTGCTTGTGCTTTGGGTTTTACATTTAAGCAACTGCCGTCAGAAGTCGGGTCTACAGTTGCTCATGACACTCTTTTACCATCTTAAACCTTCTCTGTGTTTCAAGGATATTTTTCTAGATACAAACTCACATCAATAGTTTATTAATTCATTAATTGATCTATTATGTATCTTTCAGCACTTGAGGATGCGATTCACCATCTTCCGGACTCCAATACTATCTTCTGCTGAGAAACTGGTTGTTGCCCTAATTGGGGAATCACTTTTATACCACAAATCACTCATCCTTTGAAGACTTCAAGACTTTTTCCTAAGACAGGATCTGGCTCTGTAGCTCTGACTGGCCTTAAACTCACTCTGCAGCTCCGCTGTCCTCATACACAGAGCACACACGCACACACGTCCACGCTCAGGCCCACGTCACACACACGCCACCCCCTAGCAACAGATCCAGGCATGGCCAGCTGTGTCCCTTCCTCTCCCGCCGCCCCACGGAGCGCCAGCTTCCAGGAACAACACAGAAAACCAGCCCATCCCAGTCACAGAAAGGAAACTTCGCAGTAGGGCATGGTGACACACGCCCGTAACCCCAGCACTGTAGAGGGTGAAGCAGGAGGACAGCCTAGGTGACCCAGAAACTCAGCGAGACCCTGTCCCAAAGTTAAAAAACAAAATTTAAAGAGGTTGGAGATGTAGCTCAGAGCGCAGGCCCTGGGTTCAATCCCCAGGACCAAATAAATAAATAAATAAATAAAAACAAAAAAGCCAAATTCACTTCTTCTCTACCCAGCAGGAAGCAGACATGAGACAGCTCTCTAACTGCCCAGGAGCAGGGCTCTGCAGGCTGGGGCAGCGATTTGAGGGCCGGTAACCTGTCCCAGAGAAGACACCACGGGGACAGCAGGTCTCTGAAAGCGGACCTTGCTGGGCACCAATCCAACCATCTCAGGAAACAGCTTCCAGGTGGAGCCGAGGGCAGGGCAACAGGCAGGGGCAGGGGACAGGCAGAGGCTGGAGCAGCTCCCTCACCTTTTGGACGAGGGTCCAGGAGGTGTCCGATTCGGGGTCCTCTAAATTTTCCTGCTGGTCAACAGGGCCTGGGATCGAATGCAGGCCCCCATCCCCCTCGGGTGCTTCTCTGAGCGCCGTCTCCTCCTCGGGGGCTGAGCACACCAAGGAGTCGTCAGCATCTGCAGGCAGAGTGAGGAAGATTGGGGCGAGTGAGGAGCCCGGGAAGCCGGCACTGGTTCCTACCCCTGAGCACGTGCTGAGGCGGATCGCCCCGCGCTCCTCCGTGGCCAGGCGGGACAGGGCCAGGACCGCAACCCCAGCTGCAGTGCGGGGCAAGCTGGGTCTGAACATCCGCCTGATGGACGGTGGCCCAGAGGCCTCTGGAGGCTCCGAACCCTGGCTCTGACCCACCTGTCCACCTGCTGGTCTCCACCCACCCACAGCAGCAGGCACTCGCATCCGCCCGCCTGAGCCCAACAGCCCTTTCGAGGGGCGCCCTCTTTCACGCCCGGGTCCCTGTACCAGCTCCCTCTCACAGTTCTTCTGTCTGTTATCCTGGTCTCAAGACCCCTCCCAAGAGGCCCCATGTTAGCCCCAGGTGCATGCCCTGCTCTGGGCGCTTCCTCCCCAGCCTTTCACGGCACCTTCCGGCCCAGCCTCCTCCTCCACAAGCTCGGGAAGGCAGGACTAGGAAGGCCTGGTTCCCTGGGTGCCTGTGTCAGGCCATGCATGGCCCTCAGGAGTTTTGCTGAAGGGAGGCGTAGAGACTAGAATGCACTACATTAAAAACCGCGTAACACCATTCCCCACACAAAACAGAGCCGAGCAGGACGACGCAACTCAACAAAATATTGCAACCCCAGTAATGGAGAAGAAAAACATGGTTTTTACCCAAGAGTGTGAGTGAATGTTTGCAGTGATAAGCTTGTAATAGTAAACATGTTATTGAACCTCTGAAACATAAACATGTTATTGAACAAACTACCCCATATGTGTAATAAGACCCGAACCAGTGCCACAAATCATATATAAGTAGAGAGCGCAGAAGGCAACTCGACCCACTCGGTGACCGATCCAGCTCAACGGCAACCTGCCGGACGAGATCTTGGACAAGACCTCGGTCAAGACATCGGACGCCTTCCCGGAGTGGACCCCGGATCGAGGAGGAGGAAACCGGATCGAACACCGCAATCATCAGGAAAGGAGAAACAAAGTCGCGCTCCTCGGACTTGCGCAGCAGGTACAGGGAGAGGCAGCTGGCGGGCATGAATTAATATGTTTGATGTGTGACCTATACGATAGATATAAAAAGCTACTTGGCAACTACTACTGTCTCGACCTCCAGTTAGTGCACACTCCTGCTCACGACAGACGGTCACTGACGGGACTTGAATTGACAGCAAGGCCTCCAAACGTCTTGTGCGCACACACCTTTCTAGACAAAGCAGAAGCCGGAAAAAGGATCTTCGACAGACAGCCCGGGCCAATAGCCTTTGCATCCCCTACACTGAATCAGAAACTGGGGGCCCTGAACTTTGTCCCTGCCACGGAGCAGCCCTGCTCCGCCTCCCCCACTCAGAACCTGGCATCTCCCTGCCAATCACTGAAAAGAAGGGCTGCAGCAAGCACAGTTGGGTCTCTGACACTGCCACCCTCCCTGCTCAGGGACCACGGCTCCGCTTGCTCGGGATCCCGGCGCCATTCCCCCTGCTGCCTCCTGGAGAAAGGCAGGGGAAAGAGGCCTGCGATCAACTGAACCCTCCCAGCAGAGGCCTGCTGCTGAGCTGGGAAGCTGGACCGCTCTAAGCATCAATATAAAAAAATGTACCAGGTGTGGTGGCACACACAGGTAATCCCAACTACTGAGGAGGCTGAAGCAGGAGGATTACAAACTCAAAGGTATCTTGGGCAGCTGGGCGTGGTGTCGCACACTTGTAATCCCAGCACTGGGGAGGCTGAGGCAGGGGGATCGCTATGAGTTCGAGACCAGCCTGGGCTGCATAGTGAGTTCCAGGTCGGTTGCAATTACATAGTGAGACCCTGTCTCAGACCACCCCCCCAAAAAAATTTTTTTTTAAAAAAAGATATCTTGGGCAGTAAAGAGACTCTGTCCCAAAATTAAAAAAAAAAAAAAAAA